TTTGAGTTGGAGTCTCACTCTGTCGCCCAGACTGGAGTGCAGTAGCCGCTCCCGGCCACCGCAGCCTTGGCCTGCTGGGCTCCTGTGATCCTTCCGCCTCAGCCTTCCGAGTAGCCGGAATTACAGGCATGCGCCACCACGCCCAGCTGATTTTTTTTTTTTATTTATTGTAGAGATGAGGTCTCGTTGCCCAGGCGGGTCTCGAACCCGCGGGCTCAGGCAATTCACTCACTTCAGCCTCCCAAAGGCGCGGGATTACAGGCTGAGCCACCGAGCCCGGCGGTGGTTCACTTTTGAAGCACAAGAATTTTTAGTCGTATTGAAGTCTATTTAACAATTTTAATTAATTTATTTATAAAATTTCTTATTTTAAGGATGTGGGGTACAATTCAGGGTTAGGTATACAGATGTTCATTAAGCAGGTATCCTTGTTGATGAGGTGTGTCCCCTGCCCCCGCAGCTTCCCACTACTGCCAACCTTTTTTTATAGTTTTATAATTGTTCAAGGTTCGTTTATGAGTGAGAACATGTGATACTCAGTTCTTTGTTTCTGTGACAGATCACTCAGTATTATAGACTCTAAGTCCATCCAAGTTGCTGTGTTCATAATATTGTCCTTCTTTATGACAGTGTAATATTCCATCATGTATATGTACCACATTTTAAAAATCCAGTCCTTTTTGGATGGGCAGCACAGTTGGTTCCATGTTTTTGATATTGTGAACAATGCTGCAATAAACATACGTGTGCAGGTATCTTTTTCAAGGGTGATTTTAGTTCCTCCGGGTATATTCCCAGTAGGGAGATTGTGGGATTGAATGGAAGGTCAAATTTTAGACTTTTAGAAATCGCCAAACCGTTTTCCACAGAGGTTGTATTAGTTTACACTCCCACCAACAGTGTAGAAGTGTTCCCTTTTCACCGCATCCTCTCCAGCATCTGTTGTTTTTTGAGTTACTTCTTTTTTTGAGTTGGAGTCTCACTTTGTTGCCTAGGCTGGAGTGCAGTGGCATGCTCATGGTCACCCCAGCGTCGACCTGCTGGGCTCTGGTGATGTTTCCGCCTCAGTCTTCCAAGTAGCTGGAACTACAGGTGTGTGCTACCACATCCAGCTGTGTTTTTTGAGTTACTGATGATGGTTATCCTGACTGGAGTTAGGTGGTATCTCAGTGTAGTTTGAATTTGCATTTCTTTCATGATGAGTGAGGCTGAGCACTTTTTCATGTATCTATTGGGTGGTCATATGTCTTCTTTTGAGAACTGTCTATTCATATATTTTGCCCAATTTGTAATGGGGCTGTTTCTTTTAGGCACGTTTGAGTTTCTTGTAGATCCTGGATGTTAGGCCTTTGTCAGACATACAGTTGGCAAATATTTTTTCCCAATCTGTGTGCTGTTTCCCTGCTCTCTTGATGGTTTTTTTGGCTTTGCAGAAGCTTGTCAGTTTGCTTAGGTCCTATTTGTCTATCTTATCTCTTACGGCATGGACACTTGGGTAAAATTTTATTTTTGTAGAGAAGGGGTCTTGCTATATTGCCCAGACTGGTCTTGAACTCCTGGCCTCAAGCAGTATTCTTGCCTTGACCTTCCAAAGTGCTGGGATTATAGTTGTGAGCCCCCATGCCTGGCCTTGTTAAAGTCTAATATGTATATGTATTTTTTGTTGCTTATACTTTTAGTGTTTAAGACTATTGTCTAACCCAAGGTCATAAAGACTTATACCTTTGTTTTGATTAATTTTGAGTTAATTTTTATTTTTTTTTGAGTTGGAGTCTCACTTTGTCGCCCAGACTGGAGTGCAGTGGCACGCTCCCGGCCACCGTAGCCTCCACCTGCTGGGTGCAGGAGATCCTTCCACCTCAGTCTTCTAAGTAGCTGGAACTACAGGCGTGAGCTACCACGCCCAGCTAATTTTTGCTTTATTATAGAGACGAGGTCTTGCCAAGTTGCCCGGGTGGGTTTCCAACTTGCGGGCTCAGGCAATTCATTCGCCTTGGCCTCCCAAAGTGCTGGAATTACAAGCTGAGCCACCAAGCCTGGTCGACTTAATTTTTATATATGGTATGAGGTAGGGATCCAACTTCATTCTTTTGCATGTGGACATACAGTTGACCTGGCACCATTTGGCGAAAAGATTCCTCCCCCCACCCCCATTGAATGGTCTTGGCACTGCTGATGAAAGTCAACTAACTTGGCTGGGCTTAGTGACTCAGTCTGTAATCCCAGTACTTTGAGAGGCTAAGATGAGTGGATTGCCTGAACCTGCGGGTTTGAAACCAGCCCAGGCAACTTGGT